GGTTTGGGGGGTTCGGGGGCAGGGTTGGGGGCGGGGTGCCAGGGGGGCCTACGGGAGGGTCTGGGTTATGAGGGGCCTGGAAGCACTTTGGGGGTTTGGGTTTCGTGCGTGTTCAAATCGCGCCAAACCCCAACCCCCCAAGTCCGCCCACGCCCCCAGGTGCCCGAGGTTTTTCTAGTGCTCATACAGTGGGAAGTAAGATTTCAGAGAAACCAAGGGCGGACTCAAAGCACATAAAACACTTGTCGTCTGAAAACAGAAACATCGCGAATGCGAAGATGTAATGATCGAAGCAAAACGCAAACCAATATAGCATGGATAATAGCAAAAATCTGACACATCGTGTCGAAGCCCCGCCAGTCTGTGGAAAAAAGTACCAACCCGAAAATGCCAATGAAAAAGACGTAGTACACTAAAATACACTGGAAAACTACAATCTCCGAAGTAGCAAACTGGAAAAAAGTGCCTACTGGAAAGTACACTATAGTACAACATCACGAAACACTACGTCTGCGCAGAAAAGTACCCACTGGAAAGTAGACTATAATACAACCTCATGAGACACTACGTCTATCATGGATAACAAAAAACTACAGTACACTGCGAAAGTCACGAAAATGCAAGTCCGTAATCTGTCAACAATCGTCGTGCGCATGCGGATCTCGCTCGAACCGATGAGAAACTCGTCCGTGGGACCGACCACTGCCACGTCCTCGATCTCTCTGACGCTGGCCGCCGTGTCCGCCAGCGGAAGGTCCGGGAGCGACGGGAAGCTCGTCGGGATCGTCGTCCATAATGACTCTCCTGCCTCTCACCGTCCTGATGGCTGCTGCTGCTAGGTCATCACGTCGGCGTGACTCGCGTGCCATAGGTAGACCGTCAGTCCCTGAAGTCTCCCCCTCCTGGCGTCGATCTAAGGGCACGTGTCGGGCCTGCCTCAGTCGTGTAACAACATTAGGCTCCTCCAAAATAATCGACGCCTCTCTCAAACCGTATGTCCGCGGCGGATCCACTGCGCTCGTCGTGGCACCGCTTGCGCCCTCACGTTCGCCGTCGCCGTCGCCACCACTGCCACCGCCGCCACCCCCTCTACCACCAAACCCTGAAGCTACAACATCTCGACGTCTCGCGCTCGTGGAAACCCCTCTCAAACCTGGTTGACGACCGACACTCGCCGTCGTCACCCGTCTTGTCTCACTCCATGGTCGATCTGTGCGACCGAACAACATGGTGTCCAGCAACTCCCGCGCACGTTGGGTAGTGTCTCTCCGTCTACGGGCAACCGACCTCGGGGTAAGACTGCCGCCCTCCTTCGGAGCTGCGTCAAGGGTGACAAAGGCCCTGCGGCGCCTCCAGATGGCGCTGCGACCGAACCTCCAGAAGGTAAGTCCCCTGCGGCCCCGCCCGATGCCGCTGCGACGGAACCTCCAGAAGGTAAGCCCCCTGCAGCCCCGCCAGATGGCGCTGCGATGGAACACCCAGAAGGTAAGCTAGGGCTGGCTGGCCCCCAAGATAAGTCCTGCACGTGAGGCAACTTCCCCTCCTCCGGGACTGACCTCAAAATGCGCTGGTCGATCTCCGTCAAATCCCTCCTGCCGTGGTCCTCCAACTCCTCAGCGGTCATAAAACCAAAAGGGAGGCTGCCTCGAGGCGTAGCCACATGCCTAATCTCCGGCCTCGTCCGTGACGGCGCAAAAGTAGGGACCGGGGGTATGCACGCGCCCCTGCCTACACGTCAGTCCTCGACCGGGCCACCGCCATGTGCAGGACGCCTATAACCCTCCAAAAACGGTGCCTGATGTAGCACCACTGGCCCCACAGCAGTGCGAACCACCAAAGTTTGTTCTCCTGTCCGTCCGCGTCACGCCTGTCCACCTGTGCGGGGTCTCCCCCGCCAAACGTGGACATCGGATCGGCCACGGACGGCACCCGCGACCCGCCAACACCAACGGCCCCCGCTACGGCCTCGTCCCCCCCGGTGGTCGGCGCTATCCCCTCCGCCTGTGCAGATGGGCGAATATCATCAACGCCCACTGACTGCCCCGTCTGTATGTCCTCCAGACCCGGGGACATATGCACGACACCCTCAACTAAACCCGCGGGCAGAGTCATGCCCGCGACCTCCTGCAATGTCTCCTCGGGCCTTAGCTGGACAGCTGAAGGCTGCGCCGGCTCCGAATGTGGCTCCTCTGTCGGTGCCAACCCTCTCTCGTGCGTCCCCTGTTGAACATCTACTCCCGTATTCGAAACCTCTGTCGAAGCCGCCTCCCACTGCGTCGTGTCGTGAACCTCTGCCGGAGTATCCATGTGGGCAGTTGGCCCCACGTCAACGGACGCCGGCGTAAATGTCCCCAGCTGCCTCCGTCGGTCCTCGGCTGCAAGACGGGCGAGCTCCTGCGTCCTGGGGTCCCTCTGTGCCATGAGGCACGCTCGACGATTATCAAGCCTATCCAGCCTCTCTGCAGATGTCTCTCCAGGGGGTGTCCGGTCCTCATCCCCCTCTGCCCCCAACATTACCTCTACGCGCATGGCAGGGGAGAAACTACTTGGGTCCGCGAAGCTGATCTGTCCCAGTAAGTCCTGCATACCCACACTGATGTCCCCACGGGACTTGCTCTCTCCTCGGGCCAGACCCACGCTCTCTCCCGGGGGCATACCCATGTTGCCAAACTCACTGAAACCGCCTCCGCCGCCCATCGGTATCCCCTCAACCGCCGCATCAACCTCGGCATCGCCTCCACCGCCGGCCAGCGCACCACTATCTCCACCAACCAACCCATGTCTGTCTCCGTCGTCACCCTGCACCGGCATAGGACCGCCCTCCAATCTGTCCTCCAATCGCTCTCTCGGGCCCCTCACCAATCTCTGCAATCGATCTGCACCGGCTGGTTGTCGATGAAGCTGCTCCGTCGAAGTGGGAGAGCGGTGGATGATGCCGTGCCAGAGCGACCCAGAGGACGATGGCCAATCCCCGACTCTGCCCCCCTCGAAGGTGCAGACCCAGGATCTGTCTCCCGCTCAGCGGGAAGCGGGGCAGTGGACGTAGGCCTCGGACGCTCTAAAGGGCTCCCATGACGACCCCCGAACTCCTCCTCCAAATCAACTCGAACGAAAAGCTCATCTCCGCCACTCTGTCTACGGAGGTCCTCTGGGTCGCTCCACTCATCACGCTCATCCACCGCAGGAGCGGCGCTAGCGGGGCCCGCCGGCTCGTCCTCGTCCTCGTGACCCTCGGAAACACTGTCCTCTCGAGGGTACGGGTGCAATGTGGCGGCTCGAGTCCCAAAAACATCGCCCACATCACCCGGAGGAGCTCTGGACCCACATGGGTCTCGCTGCCATGAACGTCTCTGATCCTGGACCTCCTCCCGCGTCCTGCTCTCGTCCGTCTCCTTCCACGAGGGGCGAATCCCGATACCTCCCTCCACGTCCAACAACGACTCATCTAGAGTCCACGGCAGCGCGAACCCGCGGCCTGCCCGCTGATGAGAGAGAAGGCGGACGTTGGCTGAGATCTCAACCAACTTCGCGGCCTTCTCGAACTCAAGCCGGTTACGCTTCTTTGTCTGTACACCCTCCTGGACGGCCCAATTCCTCTCCACAGGAAAGGAGCACGTCCACATGTACATCACACGAACAACGATAACTTGCAACTGCGGGGCGCACTGCCCGTACCTCGACCACCAACACCCGGACTCGTACGTCTCCGCATCGCCCCTGCACCCCTGTGCATCTCTCTCTCCGTCTCTCCCCCCCCAAGCAATCGTCCCCCTCCGTGTGTGGAAGTCACGCAACTGTGCACATGCGGTCTCGTAGTCGCGGCTCGCCACACTGAACCCTGTCTGTGACAAGATGTAAGTCTCCGCCTCCCTCACCAAGCTCGCGTCGTAGTCGCTGACCACGCCCTCGAAGTACAGCAAGTCCCGCTAGCTGGGACAGAGAAGGTGAGCTGCGGCGTGCCCCGGCTCCAGCATGTGAGTGCATCGAGCCTGCACCCTCTGCACAATGTAGAGTGCAAGATCTGTCGGAAGTGCACAAACCTCCTTTGCTACCTGGCGGGCCAGATCCTGTGTCCACTCAACCACCCGTGACATGTGCAGCCCTCCACGATCCAACCTGCACAGCAGGTCGGACACAGGCTCCATGATACGGAACAAGATGCCCATGGAATCCCACCAACTGCCATGTCGCACCTGCCATCTGACCCACCTAGCCAAATGACGAACGGAATGGTCCCAAGGGACCATACCCCAAGTATCGCCATCCACCGTCCTCTCCAAAGCTGACCTCACTCCCAGCAAACGCTCCACCATCGCGAACACGGATGCGAAACGTGTCTCGCAAGGATAGATGAGGCCCATCTGACTACTCTCCCCCCGGAAGATATGGAGAGCGGCGCCGTGCTCCTTAATGAAGCGCACCACCGCTCTCCCCCTCACGATGATGTCCTTGGACCATGGGCCCGAACAGCCAATGTCTGACAACATCTTGTTGCAGACATGCACTGCGCATGGGAGCCACGTGATCCGTCGATGCTCCGGCCTCTGCTGGTGCTGGGGCCCCTGGAGCATGTTCGCCGAGGCGGAGTCGGTGCAGATGGCGTTCACCCACTTAGGGGAGAAGTCATCGAACACCTTGATCCAGCGCGCCAACACATCAGGCGCCCGATCCCGCTCACCCTCCCTGTTCATCGTCCGGACGAGCATCACCCGACGCGACCCGCCGGCAAGGAAGTTAACGATGGGTCTAGCATCGCGTGACTTTCTTCCGTCTGACATAATGGTGGCCCCCGTGACATAGAAAGGAACCCTGACCTCCGCGAGATCAGCTCCCACATCGTCCGTCGTGTGGACAATGGTCTCTATGTTCGCGATCTCATTCTTTGAAGGCCACAACACCTTCACTGGCCCCGGCAAGTCCCTGAAGTGCCAGACGACGTCCAACCACGGCTCGCTCCGGAAGACGTTGAACGCCAGGCGCTGACTGTACACAAACCGCAGCCACCTCTTATTGAACTCCATCTGCCACTTTGAAGAGAGTGACTCCGTGATCGTGTTCTGTCTCATCCTCTTCTGTGCTGCCGTCGGTCTGTCCCCCTCCTCTCTCTCCTTCCTCTTCCCCGCAGCCGCACCCGCCTCAGCCGTATCCGCACCTGGTCGTGTACGAGCCGACACGTGCGCCGACGCAAAGTACTGGCCCTGCTGCCCCCCCGGCTCGCTGACAACGCCCTTCCCTCGCTCCCTCACCGACGGCCCCGCCCGTGCAACCTCCTCAACGTCATCGTCCACGTCGATCTGCTCCTCCGCGTCCCTCATCCCTCCCTCCCCCCCCTCGTCCCGTCGCGAATCCATCGCAGGCGCCGCACCGTGAAGCTCCTCAAATCGCTGGATCCGCTCTAGGAACTTGTCGGACATCTTGTACTCACTGTCTTAGTGGATGTCGACAAGTGTCTCATCTGTCACTTCCGGACATCCCTTGCCCTGGCGGAAATGGCGCGCCGCCACGAACTGGTTGCCCTGGAACTCGTGGCCGCAGAAAACGCACTTCAACATGCGATTGCCGCGGAATCTCTCGCCGAGGTTCTGTCCCACGCGGATGTACTTGTACACGCAGCACTTCTTCTGCGCCTTCCGATTCTCGCCCTCCCCCCCAATCCTCAAACACCCGAGACTGACTTCGCGGCATCGTGCCCGCTCGCCGATGAGTTAACCGAAGCGATCCGCCCTCAGACTGTACCACGAAGCTCCAACTCCGGCCGGCGTGCCTCCCAGCACCAGGCCTCGTCGGGCCAACCCCTAGCTGCCTCTGTCGTGCCAACCAATCATCCCCCACGGCCTCGAAACCCCCCACCACACCGGAAACGCGGCGCGGGCCGCGCACAGCCCCCCCCCGCGGCCGGCGTTCAAAAAATTGAACGCGCATTCAAAAAGTTGAACGCGCGTTCAAAGAATTAAACGCGCGTTCAAAAAGTTGAACGCGCATTCAATTTTTGGTCGCGCAGCGCGCCGATGCCGTCTTCGTCGCCTGTCTCCATCATCGTAGCCTTCGTCCGCTGCAGCGCTGTGCCGTCGATGTCCGCGCGCGCCTCCACCTCTTCGTTGTTGTCCACGCGTTGCGCCGTCTCTCTCTCTCTCTCTCTCTCTCTCTCTCTCTCTCTCTCTCTCTCTCTCTCTCTCTCTCTCGTGCGCGCGCGCGCATGCGGCCGTCTGCGTGCGTTCACTCGTTCACAGTGCATGTGCAACACTTCTCCAAGTGAACGTGGGGAACGCTTGACGCGCACTGCACGACTGTGTCGCGTGCGAACGCTCCCCCCGCTATATATCGCTCCGCGACGAAACGCGGCCCTTTTTTTTTTCTTTTTTTTTGGGACTACGACCTTCCCAAAGGCTCCCCTAAACCCCCGCGATGCTCCAGTGGCCTCAGAGGCACCCGCCAAGCCCCGACAGACCCCTGCGCAAACGCGTCAACTGCGTTCAGGGGCGTTCAGTGAACGCGCGTTCACAGCGTTCATAAACTGAACGCGGAACGCGCGTTCAATGAACACGTGGTAGCATAGGTTCCGGAAGAGACCATTCAATCATCACACTCATTTCATCACTCGTCAGCCTCTGGCTTATCACATGGAACCATCCACAATCAAAGGAAGAGAGAGGGAGAGAGAGAGGAATGAAGATCGGAAGAGGGATTACACAGAGATTGAGGAATGGGAGAAGGTCCCGTTGTACCGCCGTAGAGTCACACCAAAGAATAGAGTTGCAACCAAGAGGGCGTACTCGCCATTAAATTCCAACGCGGCCCCGGGCCAGTCATACACTCAACTCGGATTACTTGTCAGCATTCCGACGCCGACGATCCCGACCGTCGCGCATCATCCTCCACCACTGCAAGCGTCACCCCGCCAACTTAGCCTCAACGTGGCTTGCCCGGATCCCACAGTCCGTCGTGGCAATCTAGCGCACCGCCAGCCAGTCAACAGTCGGCTTGTCAGGACTTTCCGACTCGCACTGTACACATCACCTAGCCATTACTTCTCGGAAGCTGACCGATGAGTTGAGAGAGAGTTTTGCGGGGGCGCTGGCGAAATTTATAGTTGCGAGAAGGGAGAGAGATGTGGAGAAGGGTGAATGGGGAGGCATATGAGGGAATAGGAGAGTTTGCAAGTAGCCGCCCGCCATGTTGATCCTCCTAACTCGACCTCAACCAATCAGAATCGTCGTGCAGTACGAACTTACACGGCGCTTCTCCTTGGTTAGATGGGAAGAGGGGATCGACTGGGTTTTCGAGCGCGGATCCGAGAGCGGGAAGAGGAGGAGCGCGAAGGATAGCACGAAACGGGCCCAAGATTCAGATGATCAAGAAGGAGAAGGAAAAAAGGCGCGCGTTGAGAAAGGGGAGGGAAAAGCAGTTACAGGGGGCGGGTGCGAGAAAGCGTACGTGTGCGAAGAAGGATGGTGAGAGGGACGGAAGGGAGGAAGGAGGAGAGAGCTTGCTCGTATGGCGCCAGTCGGCAAGAGGAAAATGGGCACCAAAACAGTTGCAGTTTTTCCCAATCCTGTGCTAATTCAAAATTGAAAGTACCATATCCGCGTGCAAAACAAACGCGGGAAAGAAAAATCTTCCGTCGATCCATATTCGTACAAGAATTTCTCAGAGTCTTCAGGGTCGAGGCCAAAAACATTCACGCGCGGAAGGTCGCGCGGTATTCCGATAGTTCCGGGATTTCTAACTGCCGAGCCAAATTCCAAGCGCGCTCGCTAAGGCGGGCGAAATTCCCATGCATTTTCAATCAGAAAAGAAAAGGAAAAGGAGCGGACAGATTCCCGCAAGGCACCTTTAATCGGGCATAGACAACAAAAGGAAAAAAAAGGGGGGGGGGGTTTCGGGGTCGAATTGTACACATCTGGATGCAGAGAAAACACGGGGAAAAGAAAGGGGGTCCGGAAGATGGCGCAGGTCCGGAAACTAGTACGTCACATATGTGACGCGCAGGGGGTTCCAAAATTATGCGATCTCCTGATTGCATGCGATGGCGGAGAAGGGAAGAGGGGGATGAGAGGATGCATGAGGAACCAAGTGTATCAGGAGAAGGAGAATGTTCGCATCGAGCAGGTACTTGAGCCAGAGTTCATGTTGACGCCAACTTCAATTGCAATTTCTTCGCGAGTCTGCTGGCTCGAGCTGCTGGAACCGCCGGAGATCATCCAGGTGACGTCATCATCGTCTGCGGATTCTCCGTGTGCTCTGCACCTCTGCTTTGCTATATCATCTGATCAGAAGGGACGCTGGGCCCGGTTCCCAGCATGAGCTGTACCATGTCTTTTCAGTGCTCATGATGTAAAGGGACGCAGGACCCGTTTTCCAGCAGGTGCAGCTCCCCACCTCTGGAACCGAGCCATCTATCAAGCGGGGATAGTAGAAGGGGTGTCTGCTCTTATCAGCACCTCCTCTACTCCCAGTCAATGATGTTTCTTTAAAAAAAAAAAAAAAAG